TTAATATAACTTTTTTAAAATTGATTCGAAGAACTTGAATATTTTTTAGATGTTAGATCGTCTAGTTTTCCATGAAATGTGTATACAAAAAGTTTTTTAGACTGCAATTCATTGGAATGATAAAAAAATTAAAAAATGATGTTTTCCCAACTTTTTTATCTGAGCCCATAACGAAAATTTAAAAAATGCATTTTATACAATAGATCTCGGTAACTTATATGCATGTTAAAAGTTTCATATATATCGTGTTAAATATTATGTTAAATTTGCACCCTTGGACTGTTTCTTTGCTGGTACATTTTTTCTTGTGCACTTTTGGTGCTATTCTTCGCTATCACATTTTTAGTTGTTCTATATCTTACTTATTTCAACCCCTAGGCCCAAAAATGGACTTCATTTACAACGTATATCTACACATTCACATTCTCCATACTTCAATTTACAACCAATTACAATTCTTCACATCCAACCGTCAGCATACTGTACTACTTCCCTTAAACATTTGACAACCCCTACACTTACCTTCCTTTCTACAATCTGCTCCCCCCTATACCCGCACCCCTCCATTCGCTCGCACTGTTCCAATAAAAAGCACATTTTTATATCTGCATCCTCGACATTTTTCTTGACCATTTTCTCCACCACGTTTTTCCTTACCGCGCTCTCGGCCATTTTCCCAGCGGCTACATTTTATTCATATATTAGAGCTGGCAGAATTTCCTCGCGGATACGCGAGAGCGGATAAAAAATTAAGACGACACGGAAAAACTTTTCACCCGTAGGGGAGTTGTTAACGGGGGCCGCGCAAGTCCCTGGCTCTTTCATAATGAAGGTGGTGCTTAAAGAACGTTAAACCTCATTAAATCTTATTCGAGATACCACGCCTATCGTAATTCCCGTCCCCCTACTTTGTCTCCCCTCCCGGCGTTGTTTCGCCTCTCGATCGCATTTAACGGGTAATTTGTTTATATAAGACCGCCGAGGGGCAGGGAGGAGAAGCCGGCCGGTCGGCCGGCTAGAATAATTCCTCCGGTGGAGGACTTTGGTCTAGCATTCATTGAGATGTAACCGGGCACGCAAACGGTTTACACACACGTCACGACAGCCCCGGGGCAACGATGATTTTTCGTCCCGATTACGGGATATTTAAGAGGAACGAAGTGTATCGCGTCTAATGAGCGATGCCGCGATTTCCCCGGCCGGCCCTGGGAACTTTCGTCTCGCCTTTCGTTGCCCTTTCGACCACCGAGCTTTACAATGTCCTCCGTTTACTGTCCGGGGCACAGGATCTCAGGAAATAAAACGGACCCTTGTTGCAATGGAAATTTCATCGCGTTTTGAATTAAACAAAATTGGTATACTTTTATCGACGCTTTGTCAACCGAATGGGGAGATCTCCCCGTTTTAAATTCAGTCTTCTGCTTGATTTTATTAAGATTTGCAAGAGCTACGAATGTTAAAGAAGCAATTGATGCCACATGAGTTTGCTTCGTAATTTTTGTTTAATTGATTGAGTTACTTTAATTTTATGGAATTTTTGAGACAAGAATTTTATGAACTTATGTGACATGAAATAGCAAATATTGAAATATAAGTAAATACAAGTAAACACTATTTGGAAATACTATTTCATTTAATTAATATATTAATGATACTATTGATAATACTACTTCATTAAGAAATGAAGTAGTATTACTATATACTAGTAGTATATTTATACTAGTAGTATAATAGTAGTAGTAGTAGTACTTCATTAAGAAATGAAGTATAGTACAGTATAGTATTATTATAGTATTATTATTAATAGTATTATTACTACTTCATTAAGAAATGAAGTATAGTATAGTATAGTATTATTATAGTATTATTATTAATAGTATTATTACTCTACTTCATTAAGAAATGAAGTATAGTATAGTATAGTATTATTATAGTATTATTATTAATAGTATTATTACTCTACTTCATTAAGAAATGAAGTATAGTATAGTATAGTATTATTATAGTATTATTATTAATAGTATTATTACTACTTCATTAAGAAATGAAGCACTATTATTAAATAGCACTTACTCATGCGAATATTTCAATGTTTCTCTTTTTTACAATTTTTCTTACAATTATATTATCACCGCAAATGAATAAGCAATTATTTAACCTCGTAGACAGACGATAGTAGTTAAGGGTTAAACTGATCTTGAGCCTATTAACCTTTTAGTTATGTACGACGTGTAGACACGTCATAAGGAAATGGCAATTTTACATGTTACAACATAAATACCTCTACGATTTAGGTTAGAATGCTTGTGAAATTACATATTCATAAATTTCGCATATTTCAGAATAATTCTGGAACAACTCGCCGGAAGAAACTGCGCCCAGTGTGATCGATAAAAACGCGTGCAAAATTCATCTCAAAAATAGATCGACGCAGCTAAGCGGATAAAATCATTTTCCCGAGATTTCTTCGGTCTCTTCTTTTAATTCTCAATTTAATGAGCACCGGGGCTGGGGAAAATTTGTCAATACTGTGACATAAAATAGCAGATAGTAGTAGGTCGTCAAAGTGTTAACCTAACCCTTTCTTTCGACGTGTAGACACGTGATAAGAAAATGGTAGTTTTACATGTTACAACATAAATACCTCTACGATTTAGGTTAAAATACTTGTGAA